CGAGTCCAGAGACAAACTGTGTCCAATTTAAAAACTACCAGGACAGACCGGGTCCAAATGAGGTCCGATGACGAACTGAGTCCGACTTTGAAACTGGACCCGGTGCAGAACAAAGTGGTTCGGACTTAGAAACCGAAATGGGTCTGGGGACGGACTGGGTCCAACTTAGAAACCGGACCCGGTCCAGGACAGACTGGGTTTGACCTAGAAACCGGACTGGGTCCAGTATGAGGCCTCAGGTGAATAAAATTTTGTTTTAAGGTTACCCTTACCGGGAAAAAAAATTAAAGAAGTAACTAGGGAGGTTCCTCCCCAGAAGCAGTTGGCATCTTGAGGTAGACAGCTCTCCCAAGATCACGGATCAAGATCTTCATCTCCATTATGAAATCTTTATTCCTTTGCTACTTGTGTTTTCTCTCTGTTAACGCATGGAAAGACAATGCTCCTTAACTCTGACCACTATCACTGCATCTGCTGCTAAGACCATAACTATACAATACAAGTCCTGAGACTTTCTTGCTAAGGTGGTTTAGATAAAAGAAGTGCTTCAGATTACTTGTTGGCTGAACAAGGAGGAGTCTGTACCACAGCAAATACTTCTGCTGTATCCGGTTCAACACCTCTGGTATTGTAGCAAATACAGGAAGTTAACAAACAAGCCACTTGGCTAAAACGGGTTGATGCCCCTTCATGTACATACTTTGATTGATTTGATACCAACTGGTTTGATCCATGGGGCCCTGGTTAAGGAGGATAGTTCAGTCTCTCTGTATTATCTTCCTAATAGTCCTCACTGTAGAGCCCCTGGTGTGCTATGTTCTCTCAATGGTCTTAAATGCATGGTCACAGCCATCAGCAATACATCAGATGGTCTCACTGCACTTAGAGAAACAGAAACAAGATGAATAACGAGATAAACAGCAAAAACAATTCTTCCACGGATCTGACATCAAAACCTACGTGAGTTTCACAATGAGACAAGAACAATTTTACTCTGTTGGTGACCGAGAGTGGCGCTAATTCCAAAGTTTTGTTCAATCTCTCCCATATGAGAGGATGACCAAAAGGGAAGAACAGGGGCTTCCCTGGTGGCGCAGTGGTTGAGAGTCCGCCTGCCCATGCAGGGGACGCGGGTTCGTGCCCCGGTCCGGGAAGATCCCACATGCCGCGGAGCGGCTGGGCCCTTGAGCCACGGCCGCTGAGCCTGCACATCTGGAGCCTGTGCTCCGCAACGGGAGAGGCCACAGCAGTGAGAGGGCGCGTATCGCAAAAAAAAAAAAGAAAGAAAAGGGGAGAACAGTGCAATTAATTAAACAAAGAGGCCATATAGACCGAGGTGGCTCTAATGCCTTGGCAGCCTAGGTAAGCAAACCAAAATCTAAGCCTGTAAGTTCCTCAAGGTTATGAAATCAAAATGCTAAGGACAACCAATCACAAACAGCCAACTGGTCTTTGTGCTGTAGCCAATCAACACTTGCCTTACGTCTGCCTTTTCTCTGTGAAAGCCTCTCCCTGAGCTACTCACAGTGTGGTGCTCCTAACCACATCTGGTTGGGTGCTGCCAGATTCCAATAGATTTCTGCTCAAATAAACTCTTAAAATGTTTAATATCTTCAGTTTGTTTAACAAGAGCACTTCCACTCTGGAGCTTTTTCTGACACTCTCCCTCCTCCTAGGGAGATGTAAGCGCTTGTGTCTGTTCTCTTCCGGTACAGCTTTATCAGAGCACTCATGAGGCTTGCACTTGCTTGCATGCTCTGCCCCTCCTGAAATGTGTCCTCTTTGAGGCCAGGGGTAATATCTGTATCCTACTTTATGTGTCTAGCATCCAGCACACAGGAGGCTCAATAAATATTTGTTGAATGAATTGGGGACAAGGAGAAATGGTCAAGAAATGCCTAATGTTAATAGCAAGCCCTTACCCAGAACTTATGCCAAGTACTACACAAAGGCATATACACTGAATAGACTGATTTATTCCTAAAACAACACTGAGGTAGAAGCCACTATTATCTTCACTTTAAATGTAAGAAAACTGCATCACAGAGAGGCTAATCACTTGTCCAAGGTTACACATGAACTAGGAAGTGACAAGTGTGGGACTGGATCCCACAGCCCACCATGTTCTTTACCTTTGCCCGCAAGAGGAAAAGATGCTCCACCCACATTAGACATGGAGACCTCTCTGGTGGGTCCTAATCTGGATGAGGGCTGCAACGGGTGTTCCCATTGGTGGGATTCGTAGCTTTTAGGATACTGAAGGCTTTTGCATTCTTGGACTTTTTAGGGGGACGGGGAAAAAGACATTGCTCAAGGACATAAGGGGTAGAAATGGAGAGAAACGAAAGCAGCCGAAGTTTTGCTGTGAAAGCCTAGAATCTGGAGAGGAAATCTCCATTCACCAGCATGAAAAATAAAAACATTAATACTTGAGTTATGGCTTAACCATGACATGCAATTGCTTGTGCCCCAGAGCTCCCCCTGCCATTTACAGGGAACACCATCATCAAAATCTCGTCCCTGAAGAGGAATCATGACTCCAGTTCTGGCTTCTCCACTGTATTATCCCAGACACAGGTCTTCCGTGGCTTCCCCCAACCTGTCCCTCCTCTGATAGCCCTTATTCTGGCCAGTGGACCTAGCACTCACCCAACTCGTTATGCCAGCAAATCTGGAAGTCTTCCAAGATTCCTCCTTCACTTTCCACCTTCACATTCAATTGATCTCTGAGTTTTGTGGATTCTATTTCATAAATCCACAATCTATCCAATCAATCTTCACTGTGTTCTAAGAGTGTGCAATGATGAACTGGATGAGATTCCCACCAGCCCTGCCTTCCCAAGCTTCCAGGAGCTGAGCATCTTAAAGAAGGCATTTTGCAAATGAACAGCCCTCCTACTGCAGAGTAGTAAATGCAAGAAATGGATAAATAGAGGGCTTCGGGGCTGGCGGGGGTGGGGGGGGGTGGAGAATCCCGGAGGGGTGTATCATCATCTAGGAAAGCCTGAGGGGTTTTCTCTTGGCTGTGTCCAAAGTGAAGTCTGAAGGATGTATGTGTACCAGGAACCCAGTGAAGGCGGAGGCAAGTGCAAATTTCTGGAGTCAAGAACAGAGCCCAGAGTGTGGAGGACTGGCAATTCACTACCACCCCAGAGCCTCAAAGCTGGTCTCCAGTTGGGTCTTAATTCAGCAACTACACTGCCTAAAGACTTTCAGCACCATCCTTCCTGTCTGTAGAGGTTTGCCCTTCAAGAAGCGTCTCCCAGCATTTGTCATTCGTCCTGAGCATCCCCTCAGGTACCTGCTAGTACAACACCTCTCACCTGTAGGGAGTTTTCGGTGTACAGTATTGGAGAAGACAGACCTTGAGGGAGCACCTCTGCGAGTTCTGGGGGTTGGAAAACCATGGAACGACCTGGTAAGGACCCATCAGCCTCGCCGCCCACGGCTCACCCGCTGTCACTGGGAGCCTCCAGGCCTGCCACCTGCTTGTCCTGGCCCCGATATGTCCCAGTGCTTTATTCACTCTTCCACCACCCTTCGCCCCCCGCCCAAGGCCACTGCCCATCTACACCCGACCCCAGCCCGACGTCCTCCCCGCGTGGCCACCGCGCTCTGCTAAGGTGGAGGATGCGGCGCGGCCAGGGAGCTCCCGGAAGGCAGCCGCCGGCCGGCTTCCCCACAGCCAGTGCCCACCCCAGACGGCTTCTCTCCTAGCGTCTCCCGTCCCCGGACCGGAGAGCGGGTGTCCGGCAGGGAGACCCCGTGGGCCCCGCTTCGGCCGCCTTTCCCAGGATGGCGCGAGGGGCCGCTCTGCGGGCGGACCTCGGCCGCGGGCTCCCCACTCGCAGCCCGGCGGGGACTCGCAGGGGCGCGCTCGATCGGGAGCGCGCGCGCCCGGCTGCTCCGAGGTCCGGCAGTGCAAGAAATGGATAAATAGAGGGCTTCGGGGCTGGCGGGGGTGGGGGGGGGTGGAGAATCCCGGAGGGGTGTATCATCATCTAGGAAAGCCTGAGGGGTTTTCTCTTGGCTGTGTCCAAAGTGAAGTCTGAAGGATGTATGTGTACCAGGAACCCAGTGAAGGCGGAGGCAAGTGCAAATTTCTGGAGTCAAGAACAGAGCCCAGAGTGTGGAGGACTGGCAATTCACTACCACCCCAGAGCCTCAAAGCTGGTCTCCAGTTGGGTCTTAATTCAGCAACTACACTGCCTAAAGACTTTCAGCACCATCCTTCCTGTCTGTAGAGGTTTGCCCTTCAAGAAGCGTCTCCCAGCATTTGTCATTCGTCCTGAGCATCCCCTCAGGTACCTGCTAGTACAACACCTCTCACCTGTAGGGAGTTTTCGGTGTACAGTATTGGAGAAGACAGACCTTGAGGGAGCACCTCTGCGAGTTCTGGGGGTTGGAAAACCATGGAACGACCTGGTAAGGACCCATCAGCCTCGCCGCCCACGGCTCACCCGCTGTCACTGGGAGCCTCCAGGCCTGCCACCTGCTTGTCCTGGCCCCGATATGTCCCAGTGCTTTATTCACTCTTCCACCACCCTTCGCCCCCCGCCCAAGGCCACTGCCCATCTACACCCGACCCCAGCCCGACGTCCTCCCCGCGTGGCCACCGCGCTCTGCTAAGGTGGAGGATGCGGCGCGGCCAGGGAGCTCCCGGAAGGCAGCCGCCGGCCGGCTTCCCCACAGCCAGTGCCCACCCCAGACGGCTTCTCTCCTAGCGTCTCCCGTCCCCGGACCGGAGAGCGGGTGTCCGGCAGGGAGACCCCGTGGGCCCCGCTTCGGCCGCCTTTCCCAGGATGGCGCGAGGGGCCGCTCTGCGGGCGGACCTCGGCCGCGGGCTCCCCACTCGCAGCCCGGCGGGGACTCGCAGGGGCGCGCTCGATCGGGAGCGCGCGCGCCCGGCTGCTCCGAGGTCCGGCAGTGGCGCGAGGCGGGCAGAGGCGGAGCCGAGGGCGGGCCGGTCGCAGCCTCCGCCAGTCCCCGCTCCTTCCCCACCACCCCAGCAGAAGCGCGCCACCTCCCCGCCCCCACTCCCCTCCCCCACCGCGCGCGCTCCGCCCGCCCCGGAGCCTCGCCCTCCGCCACGATGAGCAAATGAGCGCGAGCGAGGGCATGAAATTTAAATTCCACTCAGGGGAGAAAGTGCTGTGCTTCGAGCCTGACCCCACCAAGGCGCGAGTGCTGTACGATGCCAAGGTGCCGCCGCGGAGGGACAGGGAGGAGGCGCGGGCCGGGGATCCCGGGACGGGAGGCGAATGCGGATGCGGGTGTGGACGGCGCCGCGGAGCGGGGGAAGTGGCGGGGCCCGGGTGCTCCCTGCTCGCGGCTCCTCGGCCTGCGCGGCGCCACACGGGAGACAGGGGGCGCTCTCAGGACACCGCGATGGGGAGTCTGGGCCCGGGCGCTTCCGCTTCCGTCCGGTGCCTGGGGTGTACTGGCGCCCTCGGAATATGGCGTGCGAAGTCTTAGGCCGGGGAGCTGGCAGGGGGGGCCGCCTGTCCAGGAGGTCGCTGACACACAGCTTCTGCCTTGCGTTTAGCCCCTCATCTTGTGCGATCTAGTGCCGCATGGGCTCCCAGTCGTGTCTAGGCTCGCCCGCTCCCGTAGGCCGAGACCCCCACCCCGAGGGCAAGGTTGCCTGGCTGTCATAGTCCTTCGGGGCTTTTGCAGCATTTAGGTTTTCAATCTCCGTGTCGCGCCCCGTGCCTGTCCGCCTAAGTCTCCGGGGCTCGGGGGACGTTGAGCCACATCTGCAGCAACTAAGGTCTGAACGGCCAGAGGGAGTTGGCCTCGCACTCCGGGAGTTGGGGGCTAGCCCCGGGCCCCAGGTGTGTCTGGGAGGTGCTGCCCTTTGGGGGATTGCCCAAGCCTTCCGGGCTCTACATTTTACTTTCGGACTTTACCCCCGCTACCCCCGTCTCAGTTTTCTGTTTGCTGTGCTTCCTCCCTCCCCGCCTTGAGTCTCCCCAAGGGTGACACGCCCCATCATTTGCCCCAGGCGTTTTCCAGGGGACACCGTTGGGAGGGATGGCGTTAAGCTGCGAGCCGAACTGGACCTGGACGCAGCGGAGCCCAGGAGACTACAACTCCCAAAGGTCTCTCGGCTGCAGCTCGCTTGTCTAGCCTGGACCCTTTTTAGTTAGTGACAGTTCGGCCGGCCAGTGGTTTCGGAAGCTGCACCCGTTCTCACACTCAGAGACCAATCGGGGTGGTTGGAGGGATGCTTCCTATTTTGAGGCATCCACTCAGGAAAAAAAATGGAATTGAAAGGAAAAATGTTTCAGTCCAGCTCTCTGTCTAAAAAAGGAGAGAATGCTTTCTTTTCTTTTACGAAAAGGTCTATGATCTAGTTTTTCTGATCCAGCTTCTAATATTCTCTATGCTATATCGTTTGTGGACGATATTTCCTGGTTTCAGATTGTCGATGTTATTGTTGGGAAAGACGAAAAAGGCAGAAAGATCCCAGAATATCTGATCCATTTTAATGGTTGGAACAGAAGGTGAGTGTACTTGTTAAACCGGACTGAAAATTGATCACCTCTGCACAGGAACATTGCAAACTTCTTTGTTAAGTTCTAGAGACACTCCTAGGAAAGTTTCATTTCCTGTTTTTGCTTTTTTAAAAAAATCAAACCTTGCCTACTCTGAAGAATGATTATTTCTAAGTCGATTATATTTGGATTCTCTATGGGTAATTTTGGAAACCCCAGTTGCTTCTGTGTCTGAATGAGTTCCGTTTTCAGTTTATTTACATCTTTTTTGTGATTTTAAAATATTTAAATAGTTTTCTAAAATGTACGTAATTCTGAGACACATCTGTTCCTGTGAGGTGCTTTTAACATTTGTTTCATATCAAACTAAAATAATGAATTTTACATTCTTTTCCTTTTTTGTTTGATTAGCTGGGATAGATGGGCAGCTGAAGATCATGTCCTTCGTGACACCGATGAAAATCGGAGATTACAGCGTAAATTGGCAAGGAAAGCTGTAGCTCGCCTGTAAGAATACAAAAAGCCTATAAATGTTACTCAGTGTGTTTTCTTTTAGTGTTTAGAATTTTTATGGTATAAAAGTTTTAAAATCTGGTAAACATGGTTTCTTAAGTAATTTTACATTTTTAAAGTGTGTTAGCGAATAGTGTTTCTATTGTATTCGAAATAACTGCTGTGCTTTCAGAGAGGTTATTGTGTAGTATTCTGAAGTGGAGATTACCAGTTCTGTTTTAAAGTTTAATTATATCTTAGGTACTTAAGAAACTGTTATTGTGTTTTGTTTTTTTTCCTCAAGACCAATATCAGTCATAGTCAGCATTTCAGTTGTGTTTGTTTCAGGAGAAGCACAGGAAGAAAGAGGAAGCGCTGCAGGTTGCCTGGTGTGGACTCTGTCTTAAAAAGCCTCCCTGCTGAAGAAAAAGATGAAAATGTTGAAAACTGTGAGTGGCTTGACTCATTTTCTCTGGTTAAAAGGAGTTTTACCTAGTTCTTTTATGCCGCAGGATTGAGGGGAAAGATTCATTCGAATTACAGACAGGGAAACATTTTAAGCTCATTACATAAAACATTTGCCCCTTTTGTTGGTAACAAAGTAGCAGTCAATAAGTTTCTAATTAGACCTCATCAGTCTTGCACATGACCACTGTCTTCTCAGCCAGTGTCTTTATACGGACCCCTCAGAGGTGCATTCTCATGTTTTCTTCTTGGTACATTGCTCCACTTATGAATGCGCCAGGGAACCATAGGATCCTAGGTGACTGAACACTTTCAGATCATTTACCTGTGTGGTTTTTGCATTCCCTTGAAATTGGTGTTATATTTTTTCAAAATAAATTTCTATTCTGAAAGGTACAGTAATTGTGTTCAGTGTTTAAAATTTATGCAGGATAGGGCTTCCCTGGTGGCGCAGTGGTTGAGAGTCCGCCTGCCGATGCAGGGGACACGGGTTCGTGCCCCGGTCCGCGAAGATCCCACATGCCGCGGAGCGGCTGCGCCCGTGAGCCGTGATGGCCGCTGAGCCTGTGAGCCATGATGGCCGCTGAGCCTGCGCATCTGGAGCCTGTGCTCCGCAACGGGAGAGGCCACAGCAGTGAGAGGCCCACGTGCCGCAATAAAACAAAAAACAAACAAAAAATTTATGCAGGATAGTAGTTTATTATTACCAGCAGTAGGACATGCATGCCACCTTAAAGAATTGTAAACATAAGGGTTAGGGAAGTGTATAATGCAGGTTTGCCTGGTGTTTTTTGTTTTACCTAGCAATAAGCAGTTCCTCTGATGACAGTAGTGAAGAAAAGGATGAAGAAATAAGTGAAGAAAGTGATATTGAAGAAAAGACTGAAGTGGTATAAAGTTTTTATTGTAAAAACTCTTTGTCTTTGGCATATATTTTAGTGGTACATTTCTAGTTGTGAAATGTTTTTTTTAACCAAATATTGTAAAATTGTACTTCATATATACGGGAAAATAACCCTTAACCCTTACTTATAGTTACTGTAAGAACCTCTCCATGTCTCTTCATACCCATAAAGGATTTTCACAAATCATAGTTACCTCTTTCTTTCCAGTGAAAGTGTGAACTTTTTATAATGCCGATTAAGTATCAGAGTTTGGCATGTTCTATTTGCCTGTCTACAAAGTTAACATGAATCCCACTGGTAAAGTTAAGTTGGGAAGAAGCAAAATAATCATTTGCAATGTGGTTAGTGGCCTAAAAACAAGTTAACTTTTGGCTTTTAATATACTTTTCATTAGAACACTTGGCATCATTACTGGTGTAAATGTCGAAGATTACCTGGGTTTGTTTCATTGTAGGCTGTCCTTATGTTAGTCCTTTGGATATAGACTCTCTGTTTTAGGTAGCTAAAAATGGAATTGTGATATTGCAGAAGGAAGAACCAGAGCTGCATGCAAAAAAGGAAATGGAAGAAAGAACAATAACTATAGAAATCCCTGAAGTTCTGAAGAAGAAGCTTGAGGACGATTGTTACTATATCAACAGGAGGAAACGGGTATACAGGGATAACATATAAAACATGGATCTGTAATAGAGCTTTCATTTAGCTGTATTTTGCAATCTTAAAAAGTTGAGAACCTTGGAGGAATGAAATTCATATTTTAAGTTTTGTACTGAGTCGGGTTTTAAACTTCTCTGACAGTACTGTTCTGCTGATGAAAGTGTGCAGTCTTTTCCAGCCCTGGCTGCCCATTAGAATCTTCTAGGGAGCTTCGCAAAGTCCTGATGCCTGGGCTTCAACCAAGAGGTCAAGGTGAAATTGATTCTTGGTGTTGGGGGTGGCAGCTGTGGATATCTTAGAGGCTCCGCAGGTGGTTCTAATGGATCACTAAGCTGAGAATCACTGCTTGCATTTATTTTTTAAATTATTACTGTAATCTACATGGGGATATGATCAGTAGAAGAAAAACGTCAAAGAGCTTCAAAGCACATTTGCTTAAAAAATTATCTTCAAACACATTTGGCTTTATTTTTGAACTTCAAAAATGATGTAGACAAGACCACTGTTTCTTGGAATATATGGTTTATACAATGGGATGTATACATCAGATGTTTATATTTTTGTTAACAGTTAGTGAAACTTCCGTGCCAGACCAACATCATAACTATTTTGGAATCATACGTGAAGCATTTTGCTATCAATGCAGCCTTTTCTGCCAATGAGAGGCCTCGTCACCATCACGCTATGCCACATGCCAACATGAATGTGCATTATATCCCAGCAGAAAAGAAGTAAGTAGGGGAGGGATGGTTGGCATTTCATGGTTCGCTTCGGGTATTAGAGAAGTGACTTCCATTTAGAACAAGTAACATGTCTCTGTTTCAGTTATTATGAATTCATTTACTATAGCACTTGATGATTCACGTAATAACCAGTTTAATTTCAAAATATTGTCCCTTTTCCGGAATGTTCAGTAACTCCTTAGGTATGTGGTGTGGATCCATTGAGTATATGCACTGCCTCAACACCTGGAGTTTTTTTCAATGATGTAATTTAGGGAGATAACTCTTCTTTTTTCCTTGAGAAGAACCAGAATGGGGGATGAGAATTTTATCGAGGCTTGTTTACAAACAGGTCTTTATCCTAGTCTGAGTAATTGTCCTCATAGCTTGCCTTGGGCACATGAGCCAGCAGGAGTAGAATCAGACACGTAGATTGTTCAAGTTTAAACAGGTGTGTTAGTTCATCAGGACCGCCCCCTTCAGCTCCCGGTGATTGGGGTCTGTCCACCTTCTGGAGCACAGACTGCTTGGGCTCCTTGTGTGGCACTGGGCATATCCATTTGTGTTCAGTGTGGTAAGGTAAAATTACTTATTGCACTTTATATTATAGATCTGTGTTCCCATTTAATTCTTTATTATTAGCATCTACAGGCTAACCTTATTTTTTACACACATAGGTGTAGTATATAGCATTTAAAACTCTTCCTTCTTAAAATGTGCAATTTCATTGTGACATTTTGGGAAGTTCTGTTATTTTATTGCATCTCTCATCTCTTTAATCCCTGCAGCGTTGACCTTTGTAAGGAGATGGTGGATGGATTACGAATAACCTTTGATTACACTCTCCCATTGGTTTTGCTCTATCCGTATGAACAAGTTCAGTATAAAAAGGTGACTTCGTCCAAATTTTTTCTTCCAATTAAGGAAAGTACCACAAACACTAATAGGTAAGTTAACTTGCAGTTCAACCATCAGATATCAGCAATGCAATAGCTAAATCTGTTTTTGAAGATTTCCATTGGATGCTATGGGGCCAACACGTTTGGAGGAGGGAGTAAATTGCAAAGCGCCCATACTGGTGGTTTTCTTTTTTCCTGGGTAAGCTAAGTCATCATTCACTTGCAAATGGCTCTAAAAGGTTTTACGAAGTGAAGATTTCAGTGTAGAGAAGTTGGCTCTTGTGTAGCCATCCCGTGCTTTCCAAAGACAGTGGGGTGAAGAGAGCACGGCCTGAGAACGGTAGATGTGGGTTTGAATTTGGCTCCCTCGCGTATAGGTTGTGTGACTTGGGGAGGTGTCTTTTGAGCCTCTTGCTTTTGCCTCTGTTCGATGGAAAGAACATTTGCTTCTGTAGGTAGTTATTAAATGAAGAAGCTCATAAAGGGCTGTGGCCACCTTTGCCCTTCAGGTAAGGTTAGTTTCCTTCCCGGTCTGCTGTGTCACCACTTTCTTCCCTCGGTGACCAAGCATTTTCAAATATATTTTCTTCGCGGGGGTTGAAAGTCCCCCAGCCTGAGTCTGTGCCTACATCTGTGTAAGCTGCTTCCCTCTCCCCCGAGGCCTGTCTTCCTGAGAGTGGTCTCTTCTCATGATTGCCACTCATCCATCTCTTGCCTGTTTAACGTCTGCCTTTGTCTCCCACCTCCCTCTGCTCCCAAGGGGCACTGACAGCCTCGCACTTGGTGTGCCATGTGTCGGCCACCTTTCCTCCCACCCCGTCCCTTTCCTTCCCAGGTCCTGTCTCCTGGTTATCTGCCTCATGACCGTCTCTTCTCGGCCTGCCTTCCTTCCCCATTGGTTCCACCCCATTTGAGAGGCCTGTGTGACTCACTGGGGACCTGTGTTGATGTCCCCACGCCCTCCTCCAAACCTCGAGGTTCCCAGTGTCTGGGGTGGACTGTGTGTTGCCACAAAATTTGGCCGATGTTTGTGGCGTTTCTGATCTTACCAGTAGTTACACTGTGATGAGATAATGTGGTATTATTCTCTCCACCAGGGTTTCTCAACCTTGGCTCTACTGATGTTTTGAACTGTATCATCTTTTGTGGTGGGACCGTCCTGTGCATTGTAGGATGTTGGGCAGCATCCCTGGGCTCCACCCATTAGATCCCAATGGCACTTTCCCAGTTGTGACAATCAAAACTGTCTCCAGAAGGTGTCAGTGTCCCCTGGCAGAGTGGAATCACTCCCAGTTGAGAACCACTGATCTGAAACAAGTATAAAAGGGCATCACAATCTTTAATGCCAGTGTGCCTTGAGGAATTATTTAAAGGGTTAAAATGATTTAATAGGTTTAGTTACTTTTGAAGAAAATACTCGTTTTGGCACATCTGGAAGTGAAAGTTTCTAAGCCTCCTGGAGTGGAGTGGAGGGTGTGTTTACTGTGTGAAAGAACACGTTGAAGAACCCCTCCAGGTTTTACAGAGATTCTGTGGGCCAGGCACGTGTGACGCTCTCCCCTGTCTTCCGAAGGAACCCAGAGGAACTCTCTCCAAGCCCACCTTTGTTGAATCCATCCACACCACAGTCCACAGAGAGTCAGCCAACCACAGGCGAGCCAGCCACCCCCAAAAGGCGCAAAGCCGAGCCGGAAGCCTTGCAGTCTCTGAGGCGGTCCACACGCCCCTCCGCCAATTGCGACTGGCTGTCGGAGAGCAGCGCCTCGCCTCAGCCCAAGCGCCGGCAGCAGGACGCTTCTGCCAGCATGCCCAAGCTGTTCCTGCACCTGGAAAAGAGTAGGTCCACTCCCCGTGCAGGAAGGCTCCGCCGGGGAGAGCCAGTGTTGCACTTCGTGCGCCTGAAACGACTGCAGCCGGCAGGAGGTGCTGGGGGAGAACAGGACGAGCACAGGGTCACATCCAGATTCGCCTGCTCAGCTCTGGCAATTTGACTCGGGAGTTCGGCCTGCCTGAGGCTCATGAGGCATTGTCCCTAACCTACCCTCAGCTATAGCTAAGAGAAGGGAGCCCCCCACGCCTTCAGCTCCGCAGCGTGGATCCTTGGCACTGACCGGTTAGAGCTGGCCCGCAAGCCTGGTAGCAGTCCCTCCCCTCAGCCCTAATCTGCCGTACTGGGCAACCGCTAGTTACTTCCCGTCCCTATGGATTTGCCTCTTCTGGGCGTGTGTTCATATCAGTAGACTCGTACTATATGTGGCCTTCTGTCTGCGGCTTCTTTCACTTAACATGATGTTTTCAAGGTTCATCACGTAGCATATCTCAGTACTTGATTCCTTTGCTTTGCTTTTTTCTGCCAAATAATGTTCCAGGTATTGTCTTTAATAGGGAAGTCTTATTGTTAAAGATTAATAACGTCTCTGCTGCTTGTAAAGGTCTTCCAGCAATTTTTAATTCCGTAGCTGTGTGATTTACAAGTGAATAATTGACATCTTTTCCTTTTGAAGAGACACCCGTTCATAGCAGATCATCCTCACCCGTTCCTCTGACCCCTAGCAAGGAAGGGAGTGCGGTGTTTGCTGGCTTTGAAGGCAGAAGAACTAATGAAATAAATGAGGTAAAGAGTTAGTGCCTGCTGTTCATCCCCAGTGAGTCCTTCCTTCTGTGGTTTCTTAAATCCTGCAGGAGGAAGTTGGGTTTTCTTAGAAGAAGCATTATGTTACTCTTGCTGCGGATAGTAACAGAATTGTTCATATGATTGTAACGTATTTGTGGTTTCTAAAATGAGACAATGGTTAGGATTCCAGCCCTACACTTAACATTCATCTTTTATTTCAAATAAGTACAAGTATTGAAGTGTGAGGATTTTCATTTTATGGAACAGTTATCAGCACATCTTTTCTGCAAAAGGCCAGAGAGTAAATATTTTAAACCTTGTGGGCCATGCAGTTGCTGTTGAGACTACCCACCTCCAAAGCATCCATAGGCACTCTGTAAATGAATGAGTGTGCTGTGGTCCAATGAAACTTTATTTATGGATGCTGAAATTTGAATATCAGATAATTTTTGTATGTTATGAAATATTCCACTTTTGGCATTTTCTCAATCATTTAAAAATATGAAACCCATCCTCGGGACTTCCCTGGTGGTGCAGTGGTTAAGAATCCGCCTGCCAATGCAGGAGACACGGGTTCAAGCCCTGGGCTGGGAAGATCCCACATGCCGCGGAGCCACTAAGCCCGTGTGCCACAACTACTGAGCCTGCGCTCTAGAGCTCGTGAGCCACAACTACTGAGCCTGCGTGCTGCAACTACTGAAGCCTGCGTGCCTAGAGCCCACGCTCTGCAACAAGAGAAGCCACAATGAGAAGCCTGTGCACCGCAACAGAAGAGCAGCCCTCGCTCGCCGCAACTAGAGAAAGCCCGTGCGCAGCAACGAAGACCCAACGCGGACAAAAATAAATTAAATAAATGAAATAAATAAATATTTTTTAAAAACCATCCTCAACAGTAGTATTATCATCATCCCTTTGAGGGCATGCTATGTGCCAGCATTGTGCCAGGCACTTGACCTAAATTACCTCGAGTTCTCGAGAATAGCCTCACCACCAGAGTTCCATTTTATGGATGGGAAAACTTCAATTTAAAACTATTTTTAAGGCCAGTTAACTGAGGTAGGTAGTGAGTGTTTCAGGAGTTCAGGAGATGTCTTAGCCCACTGGGGTATTCTGTGAATCTCACCTAGGAAGTGGGATTTTTCTTGTTTCTGTGCATAGGGAAGGATGGCTTTACTAGAAAGAATATTTGATGACGGGTCGGCAAACTTTTCTTATACAGGGTCAGATTGTAAATATCTTCAGGGTTGTGCACCAGCGTGAAAGCGGTATGGAAAGTTCACGAATGAGTGTGCAGTGTGCCTCCAAAATTCATTCACGCACGCTAGTAATTGAATTTCATATGACTTTCATATGTCGTGCAGTATTATTCATTTGATTTTTTAAAAACCATTAAAAACGTAACCGTGGGGCTTCCCTGGTGGCGCAGTGGTTGAGAGTCCGCCTGCCGATGCAGGGGACACGGGTTCGTGCCCCGGTCCGGGAGGATCCCACATGCCGCGGAGCGGTTGGGCCCGCGGGCCATGGCCGCTGGGCCTGCGCGTCCGGAGCCTGTGCTCCGCAGCGGGCGAGGCTACAGCAGTGAGAGGCCCGCATACTGCAAAAAAAACAAAAACAAAAACAAAAACGTAACCGTTCTTAGCACATGGGGGTTGGATTTGGCCCAAGAGCTGTAAGTTGGCCGACCCCTGCTAGAAAACTCAGTTTGTGTTACAGTGATGTTGAGGGAAGATTTAGGAAATTCCTAGTGCAAGCAGTCCCTGATTTTCCATTTTTCAGACAAGAGGGCCCTGCAAGTGTTATTATTTATGGGGAATCATGTTTCTTCTAGAAGACATCTGAATATTGAGGCACGGCCATTCCCAATCTTGTCACTGGTGCAAGGCCGCCATCTAGTGGTTATAGGTAGAGCTGCAAGCTCTAGTGAAAAAGTAGGATTTCTAGTCAATGGTTGGAGTTGGGCAGACTCTCAATGATTCGTGAGACCTTAGTGCATTCCCCCTCCATAAGTGCCTATACTGGAGTATGTTTTCCCCAGGGCTCTGCATCCTGACCACCTAAGACTCACTCTCCCAATGACGTTCGCTGCCCCACCACATGCGGAGGGTCTGGACTCACA